TCCTATCTTAGCAGTGTTTCCTTTCCCCATCCCATTCCTTTCTCTATAAAACCCTTTCTTTCTGCCAGTTTTTTCACAGCATCTGACAGTAGGTTACTGCCTATGAAAGTGTGTGCCTCTCAGAACCAGTTAGTCTGTAAGGATGCTTGTAGATGTGTGGGACACATGCTCCAACATGCTATAATTACAGCACATTAGAGCAGACTCAATTAATTGAGTCTACTGGATCATGCTAATTAGCACAGTCCAGCAGCCTCAGCGTCATGTGTATTCAGCATCCCTGCATTTCAAAATGGTGGCTGGGGCACTTTAACTAAAGCTCATCAAGCGAGCTTTAGTTAAAGCTCGCTTTAACTAAAAGTGTCCTTGCCACCATTTTGAAGCATGGGAGGGATGCTGAACGCATGAGATGCTGCAGGCACTTTAATTAGAGCAGCTCCCGAGAGATGCTCTAATTAAAGCACCACCCCCCCCATCCCCAGAGCATGTGTAAAGGCACCCTAAGGCACTATCTGCCCTACATTCTACCTGACATCCGATTAACATGACTAAGCACTTCTGTGCTAATGTAAGACCAGGAAAGTTGTAGTAAGGCCATATCTAGGTGCAAACTTGGTGTGTCTAGCAACAGCACCCTGAAACACACCACACAGGTCTCCATGCACTGCCCTCACCTGGAAGCCAGGTCTGTGCAGTGCCAAAGATGTTTAATTAACACTGATGAGTAACATTGTCAGCCCTCGCCCAGCACTGTGCAGATACAGGTACACTACTTCCTCTCAGAGGGTGAAAACATGCAGAGGCATGTGGCTTATTTGATTTGAGAGAAACTGCTGCCTAGAATGGTAAGAGTGCAGTGCAGATATGGCTTGAGATATTGTTTCCTTGAAGAAAATCTTATAACTATCTGCTGGACTAGGGAGACAGTTTGGGAAATGACTACAATTGGAACAGGACTAGAATGTGAAGGACTGATAGCAATACAACTCTAGCTATTGTGAGAAATATGACCAGAAAGCTCGTGCTTCAGCAAGCTGAGAGAGACCCACTTTTCAAAGATTTATTTTAATAGGAGTTAGACACTTGGGCTTCTACATGAATCTTTAGGAACCGAAGCCAGGCATCCTGCTTTTTAAGTCATTTGTTTAAATCTGTTTTCTACAGAAAAAAAAGAATGACAGGAAGAAGAGAGAGTACCCCTTTTTAATCTTTATTATTCAGTTCATGCTCACAACCCCTATAGTCAGCATGTGTCAATTATCCTGTCCTTTTTTGCTTTCAGGATTCAAGTAAAGATATCTTGTAGCACAGGGCAATTCTTAAAATATTAAACATTGGTTTAGTTTAATAATTTAGTGACTACAGGATTTAATAACAAGTGAGGCTGGTACAATCAATCACCTTGCATGGAATTTAAGCTCTCTCTTTTTCTCTCCCCTCTTTTTCTTTTCAGTAACCAAAGTTAAGAGGTGCTGTTCATGTCCATTGCCAATTCAGTGTGCATATGGTTTGTGCAAGAAAGGAGGCTCATGGTGCCTACCTTGCCAATTTTGTACAAAAAATGCAAACTGATCAGTTTATAAGTTGGGCAGATAAAGTTCAATGGCAGTTTTTATGCATCGCACGTTACTTCAGTGACAAAATTGGTAGTAATAGATATAAAAAGCAGAAATAGTGACTCTCCCTCAGATTGTGAGTTTCCCAAATTTTGCAGGTGCTCAACACCAAGAGGTTACAGTTATAAATACTCATTGGTCTGGCAAATCTACAGTTTTTTTCTGAATGGAGATTTTACAATTTGAAATAAGAGTAAACATTATTACTACACAAGAAATATAATGATCACCTGTACCAACTGGGGAAGAGGGTTGAGTCAATATGACTCAAGGCCACAGTCCTTCTAGCCTTGGTAGTATCCTGTCCTCATCTCCTCTGCTTTTCTGTATAGTATGATATTTATTGGTGGTTCTTGGTATTTCTTGAACTTGTGGGTGACAGTTTTCAGTGCCAGCTATGGCGATTCCTTCATTAACAATACTGGACCCAATGGTTCAGGAGGGTCCTTCCAGTCTCATGTTCCTAAGCACCCTGTTGCACTGGGAAATTGTGTAGGCTGCACCTTCCTAGCTGGAAAGGGTATGATCCTTGCAAATTATTACTGTTCCCCAGTGCCATGGCCAGTAGTTTTACAAAGCTCCAGCAGCAAATGCTGCAGTTGGAAAGGATTGTGTGCAACCACTTAACCCTGTAAGTGCCAAGAATCTGGCCTGTGATGTTCAGGAATATGGTGATTGTGGTGTAGTTAAGACTAAAATATTTCATATAAAGTCCATTTCTTGAACTTGTTGGGATCAAGTGTTCCATTAACATTCTCACATTCAGTGTTGTAATCAAGTTAGCAACTAGATCATGAATGTATGTCTGGAGGAAAGAGAAGTTTTTATGGTGCCATTTTGTAGGAAAGCATCCTCAATATGCAAGATTTTACATATAGCAAACTGTACCAAAAGACATTTTAAAGCATTTTTCAGAGCTCTTTGTCAGCTGCCCCCACCAATTATCAACAATATTTTTATCATTATTACAGCACAGAGTTTGTATAGATGAAACATCCAGATCATGGGCCTGGAATACAGCCCAAAGGGTTTGTTCTTCCATTTCATAATTGTTATAGCTGGTCAGCAGCACAGGCATTAAAAAAAAAAAAAGAGAGATAGTGATGGAGAAAAAAAAACTTTTTAAAAAATACCTCCTTGGGATGCATTTGGATAGTACTTATATGAGTCCCTTTCATTATAGGCTGGCTAGTATCAGACCATACTAATCAATCAAACAAACACTAGGTTGGAAAAGTGGGAAATCTGTTACTTCCATATCCATCCAAATGGAATTGTGTTTCATCCCCAAACCAATTTTGGCTGCAGGTCTACATTCTGCTTTCAGCAAATATCTTAACAAGCAGAACTTCACTATCAAAAACACTCATGGCATGTGAAACAATTTTATTCCTAATCCTATTTACCCTTATTCACAATAGTCACCAACAGCAACTGTTCTAATACCAAATAATCACGAGGAAGAAGTAACAAAAATTGAAGAATTTCATTATTACAGGAAGAATGAGGGCTAGTTGTGATATTTCTGACCACCAGAGGCCTAATGCAAACAGGAGATAGGCTGTGTAAAGACAGAAACAAAGCCACTTGAACTGAAAAATAAAGTCCTGTGAACTGAAGCAGCTGAGTGATGCAGGTTCTACAGTGAGTAATTTAAAAAAAATCACTTGTCTGGGCTTATATGAGTATCTCTGTCAGTAGTTTTCTAGCTTCTTAAAGTCTTTTTGGCTTCACTTTTTCAAAAGAAAAAAATTAAATTTATAAAATACGCAAATAAATATTTTTTTCTTAAGAACTAAAGAAACTAACTTCACAAGTTAATAGCAATGGTCAAACCACAAAAAGGAATGAAGGAAACACTAAGATCCTATGAGGAGGGGAAAGACAAAAACTTAGGTATCCCACAACAGCAGAATTTTGTGAAAAATCAAATATATTCTGCCTCTAATTAAACTACACAGACTATGATAATAGAATTCCTTGCCTTTGCTTTTACCCTTGAGCATAGTCCAGAAGTGCCAAATGTATCTATTTTGATTTGGTTATAACTTCCTGTAGCAGATCAAAAAAGATCTTTTCTTCAAAAGAACTTCACCAAACCATACTTGTTTGTTTTACACAAGGTTTCTTTTCAACACAGATTTGAATGCCTCTACTGATATCTTGAAGCCTTTCTGTGTTATATTTTATTTAGGTTGTGTCTACACCAGTATTTAGGACTGACCTTGAAATTGTCTTCAAACAGCTGATGCCACAAGATGCTCCTTAACTACATCATACTTTGTGACCCACACCAAAGATATCCACATCATGGTGCTTGTTTTGTGAAAACAGCAGGTTCTCTTATGCCATGTCTGAGGCCTCTCTTCTTTTAGGCTTGTCGTTATTTACAGAGACAATGAAATGGAAGATGGGAATGGTCTGAAAGATAGGAACAGAAAATAATAGGATAGCTTCTGGTGGGCTTCTTGTGCTTGAGGGCTGCAGTGTATTGGTAAAGTTTTAAACACTGTGAAAGGG